ATAATTTGTGTTAGTCTTTTACTTTGGTTCAATGACACAAGCGAATTATTAGTTCTAGTAATCTAGAATTGTGTCATCTGAGTGTTTGGCCTATTTGGAGTTGATTATTACGTACACTTTCATGCATATTTAAAATGGTATTTACATCGCTGATTAAACTATTTTGGTTTGTCTTGGTATGCTTGAGTTTTATTATGGCCTTTGAAAGCTTAACCTTAGACTTTTTTTAAATGCTTTTGAACTTTACTAATTTTGTTCTATGATGTATTGCAGACTAACATAGAACTCTGCCTTGCTCCTTCAGCTTTTGTTTTCTCTGTTTGTGACGGAATAAGGTCAAGCTTTTATGAGTCTATGAAGTTGTGCTTGATTTTGTGTTTAATTCAGGACTCAACTTTAGCTCTTTGGTTGTATAACCTCAGGCTTTTGGGTCGTTAGGTCTCATTGGCTTTGTTTTTTTGTATTTGTTGGCTCTTTATGTATTACTTTATGTATTACATTGTCATCCATACAAATGGATATGGACTCAAGAAAGTGTACATATTTCATGTTTGTTTTGTAAAACTCTTTATGTGTGAGACAAAAATCTTGATTGAATTGCTTTTCTTAAGCACCTATGCAGCTCAAAAACGTTGATTAAATTGTTTTTCTTAAGAACCTATGCAACTCACAAACATTAGTGTCTGTGAGTTTGTAATCACAGACATTACGTGTCTGTGATTACAGACACTACTGATATGTAAGTGCCTAATTACAAACAATAACTAAATTTCTCAACTAATGACATTAACTACATGTACAAGTGAATCTCATAGATGTGTTGTAATGTATTGATAGTTTTGATTTAAATGCGTTATTAGCTCCACAATGTATTTCACAAATTTAATTAGGTTTAGAAAAAAGAAAAAAAACAATCAACGATTTTTAGTTACACAGACACTAAAGTTCTGTAATTGTTTGAACACATACATTTACTGTCTGTGTACTCTGAGTGAAAATTGCGTGTTTGTAAGACTTCTTTCACAGACAATGCATGTATCTGAAAGTGAAGATAAAGTATTAAGATCTCTTGTCACAAACAATCATTTAGTTAGATATAGAATTCATAGACATTTACTGTTTGTAAATGCTAAACCATAAACACTAATTGTCTGTGAGTGATGTATTAAAGAAATTAATGCAACAAAGACATTTTTTATCAAAAGATACCAGAGGAGATGAGTGAACTAATCCAAAGTCCCTAAACAAAACACCCAACCCTCTACAAACTACCAGTGAAAACAACTTCTAACAAAAAGAAAACAATTGTACAATCGGCATTGCAAATATAGCATACAAAATCTTCAATTCCACCATTACAGTATGTTCTTAATTTTATAATTTTTAAAAACTTAATTAAATACCAAGGCCAATCACCTACGCCAAAATCTAAAATGGGTACTTAACATAGTAGAAATCCGAAAGCAATCATCTCCAATCTTCCAACGTTCAATCTTCCACGTCAAAAGCAACCACAAGGGAACACGAGTCCAACTCTGAAATTTAACAAACAATTAAGAAATATCACTTCATTTGGAACACATTTTAGAAGCTATTGGAATCAGATGAGCAGATTTGAGAGATATTGGTAAACTTTTGCGGAGATGATAGTGTCTGTTAAATGTATTATAGACATTACGTGTCTGTAAGATTTTCTTCACAAACATAAAATGTCTGTGAGAGTGTAGATAAACTATCTAAACCTCTTGTCACAAAACATTCCAACCAATTGGAAAACAGGCATTTTACGCCAGTAATAAGCACATCACAAACATTTTAGAGTAATCTATGAATCNAAATATCACTTCATTTGGAACACATTTTAGAAGCTATTGGAATCAGATGAGCAGATTTGAGAGATATTGGTAAACTTTTGCGGAGATGATAGTGTCTGTTAAATGTATTATAGACATTACGTGTCTGTAAGATTTTCTTCACAAACATAAAATGTCTGTGAGAGTGTAGATAAACTATCTAAACCTCTTGTCACAAAACATTCCAACCAATTGGAAAACAGGCATTTTACGCCAGTAATAAGCACATCACAAACATTTTAGAGTAATCTATGAATCAGAGCAAGCTCTTTCTCAGAATACAGACATTTTGTACCAACAAGAAGCACATCATAGACATTTCAAAGCAAGTTATGAAATTGAGCAAACTCTTTAATAAAATACAAACATTTTGCACCAATAACAAGCACTACACAGACATTTCGTAATAAGCATTTAAATTCCTAATTACCTCAAGTTTTTAACAAAAAATCAGCCATTGAAAAGATTAAAAAAGAATTAAATGATTGAATAAGTTTGAGAAAGAACGATTCACAAAAAAAAACATTTAAAAAAGACTAATTTTCACAAGATGGAAGGATTGATTTGTGGTTAGAATTGAATGATTGAATCAAGATTTACAAATAAAAACCCTAAAATTGAAGTAAAAAGTGTTTATTATAACCTTTAATTTGATGTTGTACGGTGGTCAAGACGAAGAAGATCGAAGAAGACGAAGGATGAAGTCTCCACCAAGTTGGATCTTCCACCGATGCACTACACGGAGGAAGGGGAAGTAGGTGATGTCACTGCAGAAGAACGAGGAAGACGAAGGAGGAACTCTGGGAGAAGGGCTGGTTGGGTTAGTCTTCCGGTAGTTGCCCGCTCCTTGCTTCCCTGGAGAGATCTGCGAAAGAGAGAGGGAGAGAGAAAGAAAGCAGGGGAGGGGTATAGAG